TATATTTAAATATATAAACTAAATTTGAATTTATAATCAATGATTTAATTTTATGATAAAATTATTTTTAATTATTGATAATTTTTAAAAATTATTTTTAAAAATTAATAAATATAGATAAAATATAGTAGACTGAAAGGTTGAATAAATAAATTTTTATTTATTCACATAAAGATAAAAAAAATATATATATAATTTGATATAATTGAGGTAATTTTTTTAATTACAAAAATAATATGTAAAATATATTTAGAAAAGGAGAAATAATATTAAGAATGTCTAATTAAGAAAATAAAAATAAATAATAAACATAAATTATTGGAACAATATTTATTATATAAATTATGTTTTATAATATTTCAAATTATTTATAATTTATAATTACAATTATAAATATATTATATTTACAAATTTACAAATGATAAGAAAATTAGCGCGGGCAACTGCCCCACTCTTAAGTATGAGTTTCTTTTTTCATCCTTTGAACCAAGAGACCATGAGACCAAGAAAAAGATAGTTTCTTAATGCTTGACTTCCTTCTAATTATATTTTCAAGTTCAGACCCTATCATAAAAGGATTTTCATAAATGAAAAAGTTGTACACATTCTATAACCTATCCAAAAACAATTAATTGCAAACATGCAATGCTATTATTAGGATGATTATTAAATCAACGTGGAATTTATGGGTATCTGCAAAAATATTTTCATGTGAGATGAATAAATACTCATTTATATAGAAATGAGTACAACATAAGTGTAGATCGGTAAAATTTAGTGGGTATAAGTATGATATGTATACAAGTATTCAATGGATATAAAGATGAAGATTAAAATTACTACTTGTACAGATATTATTTTTAAATGTAAGTATAGGAATAAATACTATAAGACTCTACCTATTATGAACCCTAGCTTTTCCTCCACGGCAAAATGGTACAAGTACTAATTACTTTTCAAGTTTTAGGTGGGGATGGTTTATTAAATACATGATTAAAATTGAAATTGTCCAAATTAATATCACATGACAAAACATGTGAAATTTGAAATAATTACACAATATTACATTGCCAGACGTCCAGACCGTATTTACGAGTCTCTCCATTAAATATAATACATATAAAATTTGAAGTTTAAAAATTATACATAACAGGAAAAAAGTAGAACAGATCCATGGCAAGATTATTTTATATTATTACAAGCTAATTAATTGAGGCATCATTTTGTTTCTATGTATTTTAATATATAAAAATAATTACTCAACGTAATAATATATATAAATAATTACTCAATATTACATTAAGACCGTATATACGGAGCTTCCTATTAAATATAATCAATTTAAAATTTGAAATTTGAAATTTAAACAGGTAGGCAGAAAAAAGCAGGACATATATAAATTTAATAATAATAATAATAATAATAAATTAAAAAATGTAGAAAAATACAAATTATTCTCTGATAAATGTAATAGAGGAAAATGAAAATGACTTATTTATTTATACTTTGAGCATAATAATAAATAATCTATAGACTCTCTTTCTCTTTATATATATACTTCAATAGTAAATTTTGGTAGACTTATTTTATTAAATAATTTCTATTCTACATAAAATTTTAACAATTTAATTAACCGTTAAATTAAAAGTTTTTAATGCATATATCAAATATACAAATTCTTAAAAAAAAATTAAAAATTATTTGATATTTTGTTTCATTAATTCTATAACATTCCATTTTCATAAAAAATAATATAAGTATTTTATTGATAATTTTGGTATTTTTATTTTCTTAACAAGGACTATTAAATATTTGTTTTAATTATGTAATATATTTTTTATCAAACCCTCTTATGTCTCTATTTTCACGTATGTGCTTTAGAAGTCGGAGAATAAGAATAGAAAGGAAATCATCTTGGAGCCATGAATCTGTCCTCTTGAGCTTATCTAGGTAATGGGGGAGGGAGAGTGAGAAATCTTGCTCTGAGTGTGAATTTATATGCTGGGTAATGGGATTGACCTTAATCCTATGTATGTCGCGTGCCTATGTATGAGGGGTTTCCCTTAATGTTTGTATTTTGCTCCTTGTTCTTCTCACTCATAATTGATAATATGAATTATTTGAATGTATGCTTAATTTTATGTTTTGGCTAATAATTATGATTGGTGGTCCTTATGGGTTCCCATGGGAAACCCCGAGGGGAACTTGATGTGACTTTGAAAAAAGTTATTGGTTGTATGTGCAACTTGCGTGCTATAGAATGTCAATTGTATGATATATAACTCTTTTATTGATTAAATTGTATTTTGGTGATTTGGAGTGTGACTCAAAATTTTGTGTTTTCTGATACGTCGTCAAATGCTACTTGGGACACATCGGGCATCATCGAGGCGAAGAGCAAAGTTTTCTCTTGGAGTCTCTCATGTCGGGTGTGGATAACCCTCACCGAGTGCGAAAGCTCTAAGGGTTCCCTATGATGCTTCCATCGAGCATAAGCTGACTCTTGCCAACATGAACACTTTAGAGAGCTCTCGATGGTATTCTTGTTTGGCATGGACTCGATCACGTCGGGCACAATTTAGATAGAGATCGGTGGGGTCCTCTAGAGGACTCACATCGAGTGGGGGAGTTTGCCCGTGGGCACTGTCCTACCTGTAATTCTTATATTGTTTTACTGTCTATCCTATGTTGTAACTCTTGATATTAATGTGACATGAATTGATATTGATATATGAACATATGACTATGTATGAGGAGTAATGCGATATGAGGAAAATGTTAAATGTGAAACTATGAGGTCATGTGAATGTAATGTATTGAGTTTGATTGACATACATTATATGCATAATTTTTTTTTGAAAGGGTAAGATATGGAATACGCTGCCAAGGAAGGTCCCATGTATAAAAGCTTGGGAACTAACCTTGGGGATAGCTCAGTTTGAAAGTCTTAGTCCTACCCTCGTGAGCATGGGATGTATCTTGGGTGACTTAGCTATCCTGACCAGTCCTTGATAGTATGTCCTTCTAGTAAGAGTGCGTAGAGGATTTGACCCAACATGTACTCCTAAACTACTCTAGTGTGTTGCTAGCGACAATGCATAAGTGTAATGATTTACTAGCACCACATGCATGATAACATATAGTCCGAGTCCATTGCATATTCATTATGATCTTGTATATTGTTGCTTATTATGCTATGAATGAATTAAACATGATGATGTGTAACTATATATGTTAGATCTTATTATGTGTGTTGTTTGTGTGTGGCTAGCCGATTTGCATTCTTGCATCGCGAGTTAGAGTGAGATGTTTCTCACTCCCTTTTCTTTTGTGTTATTTTTTTGTGTGGTTGTTATAGGTGATCATCAACATGGTACTGAGAATGTTGGTGATGAGGCCTAGACCTCAATGTTGGGTTTTGCTTTGATAGGACACATGACACTAGGGAATTAGTTAGGACTCGATTCATGTTATTTAATTTGAGTAGTTTAATTTTTATTTTCGTTGTAATTTGTTATTTTTGCTAAGTTGAGTTTATGTTAAAATATGATTCTTTTTACCTGTATGAATTTTGAGTTTATTTATTATATTTAAGGTTATTAAGTTATTTTATATATTATGTGTTATGGCATGTAAGGTAAAAGGTGTCACATTTAGTGGTATCAAAGCTAAGTTGATTCAACCAGATGTGTGTGTTGTGTGTCCATCTATGTTTTCCTGTGTTCTCTGATTGTGTATTTGATGGAAACCTAATTCCTATGGATTCTTTTGGAAAAGATAAGATCAAGAAGGGTGAATGATGATAAAGTTGGTTTGAGGAATTGTAGGGCACTTACCCTTATTTTATAGGGTGCCTTACTTGAAAAGGCCTATCCTACCTTAAAGGACTGTTATTGTTGTTATACAATTATTTTTTACTTGTAAATTCATTTAGTAGTGATTGTATTAGGATATTTTTGGCCTTGTATTTTGGGTTAAGTAGTGTAGGTAATTTTGTTGTTGTATTACTTGAAGATGTAATTAATAGATTAGGGGAGGTGTAATTATTAAAGTTTTGTTAGACTTATTTAGGCTTGGAGGACCCAAAATTTTTTTATGACCCATAGGTTTGGACTCCAAACCATGCCAAGCTTGCCATCCAAGCTACAAATTAAGTCACATGGCTTTGATAGTGACATCTCAACAAACTTGTTAAAAGTAGTCATTACTCTAGTAGTTGTAACGATTAGATTAGGTAGTTGAAGTTAACTTAAGCTAACCTAGGTTATTCTTAAAGTAAGATTAGCCTAATTTGCACCATAAGCTTCTAGACAACTAACTAGACTTATAAACATTTAACTAGAGTTAGTTAGCTTAAGTATAAGATAACTAACCATGGTTAGTCTAGCTTGCATCATAAGCTAACTAAACTTTTTATATTGTAATTTTGTCCATTTTGTAGGAACTTTTGATGATATATTTAAATTTTTATCTGAGATTTCTCTATAATTTTCTCTCTCAAAAGTCTAAATTCTCTCTTTAATTTGCTTCCAATTCTCTTATCCTCTTCTTAAGAGTGCGGTGAGATTTGAAGTGATTTATCTTCTACCTTGAAGTGACACCACTTGAAGAGAGTTCTTCACCCTTTAAGGTGAGTCCAGAGGTTTCCTCCATCATTGGAGACCTTGAAGAAGCTTGAGGAGTGTCAAGAAGGAAAATATCTAGGAAAAAACTTGAAGGAAAAGCTACAACAATCAAGTTCCTCCTTGAGGTTTCCATCAATATTTGTTATGTTTAATGTGTTAGTTAATTTATTTGTTTTTATGTATCAGAGTTATGAATAGTAGGAATGATCACGCTATTGTTGATGCTCTTCAAGTGTTAGAAAGAGCTATAGAGATTAATAGGGTTGGAGTTGCTCCTAGCTGGTGGAGTGTCCTGCTACCCAAAAGGTGAATGTTGTTACCTTCATGTTGATGTCTAACGCTTAGTTCTGGTGGGAAGGAGCTCTACAAGAGATGATGGATGAAGCAACGCTAATTAATTTGGATAACTTCAAGAGTATTTTCCTTGAGAAGTATTTTCCTAACGATGTGAAGAGTCAAAAAGAGGTGGAAGTCCTTAAGTTGAAGCTAGGAGACGATACTGTTGTTGAATATACTGCCAAGTTTGGTGAGCTTGTCCATTATTGCTCTCACTACCATGGTGAGGATGGTGAAAGGGTTAAGTGCATTAAATTCGTGAATGGCCTTCTTCCTGAGGTTAAGATGGTGATCAACTATCAGGAGATCTATCATTATCCAATGCTCATTAACAAGTGTAGGATCTATGATTATGATAATCGTGCACATGCTACTTTCTATAAGGGAGATGGTTTTATCTATGATGGGAGATTTGGTGGCCAGAGTAGGAGTAAGCCTTACCTTGCTTTTGCCAAGTTTCAAGGGAATCGTGCTAGAGATAGTGGAAGCAAGTCTACTAGTAGAGGCTTTTTCATGAATAGTATTGTTAGTGTAAGAGGCTTTGTTTCTACACCTATTGATATATGCAAGAAGTGTGGGCAATGTGGGTATGAACACTATAACTGTCTTAACAAGGAGATCATGTGTTTTAACTATAATGGCAAGGGCCATATTAGTATTCAGTGTTTGCAATCGCCAAGGTCACACTTAATTAGAGCGGGAGCTAGTTCTCAATCTAGGCATCCGAAGACTATTGGAATAGTATTTTCTCTTAGTGATGTTGAAGCTACTCAATCTAAGAATCTAATACAAGGTATTTATTTTATACTAAGAATCCTTTTGTTGTACTATTTGATTCTGGTGCAACCCATTCTTTTATTTCTCTTGCTTGTGTTCAAAAATTGAAATTGTTTGTGTCTTGATTGAACTTTGATCTAGTTGTGGAGAGTCCCACTAATGGTCTCATAACTACTTCTAATATGTCTTAAGTGTCTTATTGTTATTTTTGAAAAGAAATTTTAGGTTGGCCTTACCTGTTTTCCTCTTACTTAACTAGATATCATTTTTGGAATAGAGTGGTAATCTTCCAATCACATTCTTTTAAACAGATTTGTAGCACCCTATAAGATGTCCCTTAAGGAATTAGTTGAACTTAAGAATCAAATACAAGAGCTTTAAGAGAAGCATTTCATTAGGCCGAGTGTGTCACCTTGGGGAGCACCTATGTTGCTAGTGAAGAAAAAGGATGGGAGCATGAGATTGTGTGTAGACTATCGCTAGCTTAACAAGGTTACCATTAAGAATATATATCTTTTGTCTAGGATATATGACCTTATGGACCAACTAGTAAGGGCTTGTGTGTTTAGCAAGATAGCTTTGAGATTAGGTTACCACCATATTCAAGTGAAGTTTGAAGATATTCCAAAGACTACTTTTAGGACTCGCTATGGGAACTATAAGTATTTAGTTATGCCTTTTGGTGTGACTAATGCGCTTGGAGTATTCATGGATTACATGAATAGGATTTTTCACCTATACCTTGGTAGGTTTGTAGTGGTTTTGATAGATAACATCCTTGTATATTTTAAAACTAGGGAAGAGCATACCAAACATCTTAAAATAGTGTTGCAAACCCTTAAGTCAGTTAGGAGTTACTCTAAGCAGAGGCCAAGTTTGACCTATAAGGAAAGGTATATAAGGTTTCCTTTAAGAATTGAGCTTCATAAGTTCATTCTTAAGGAAACTTAGAGAGATAGTCTATAGAGAAACGTTATGGAACTTAAGAGTCATTTCTTCTCCTATAAATTCCTTGAGTATTCAAATTTCCTTCATAAGTGAGTTTGTGTTGTTAAAGTGGAGATTCTAGCTTTGAATGTTTTGAATTAGTGTTAGAGTGTTGTAAGGAGCTTCCCAAAGGTATCTTAGTGCTTGATTTTTTTTCTTCTTTCTTCCTTTTTCTTGGTGAATTGAGATAAGGGAAGTTAGAAATCCATTTCTTGTTGATGTTGGGCCTTGGTGGAAAGGTGCCAAGTGTGATACAGACAAAAACTCTCTGCCTAGACGACACTTGGCGGCAGTTCAATGACACCAAGTGTGAGTCAGGTAAAGGTTATCTACCTTAAATAAGGTCAAGCATGGGTTTGGCCATGTCATACATTATTGTCTTAGGGGCTCTTTGTCTCATTTACGTCGAACATGGGTTTCCTTATCAAAACATGTTGGTTGTCTTGAATAAGAGTTAAATATGCATATGTTAGTTGAATTCATTACATATTATATGTTGATAGATGGTGTTTGTTCTTTTTTACATTGATTTGACATAATGTATATTAATGATTAAATTGTTGAAATGTTAGGGCGATGTTGTTAAGATTGCTCAAGGCATTGAGTTTTGTAGTGTTCATTGACTTAGGAGAGATTATTTTAAAATGTTGGATATCCCATTGTGAGGATATTGTTGTGGTACTTTACAAGCCTAATTGTTGAAAAACTCTTCTTGAGAAGTTGACTCTTAAAATGGATAGTTGAGTCTCTTCTAGGACCTTAGTTGATACGGTATGGGGGCCAAATCAAGTCACATTGACTATAAAGTGACCACAATATAGGATTCAGGTTAAGCTATACTGATTAATTATGCATGCTAGACAATAATGTTGTATGTTGAGAACTAGTGGTGTAGTATAGTTGCTTTTTTACTTGTATAATTGATATATTGATTATCTTTTGAATTGCTAGCTCACCCTTGGATGTTTCCTTGTGGTTGGATTACGATGATCATATTTATTTGGGAGTAGGGCTAGAGGTAGAATTGTTTTGTGAGCCATGCTAGATGGCATTGTAGATAGTTTTTTGAGTTATCTTAATATAGCTAATTAGTCGTTGTAGTGTTAATTAATCGACAACTCAGGTTTACATTTTAGTTTTTGGATTACTTTATGTGTGTGTGTGTGTGATGTAATTTCATTGAAGAACATTTTATGATTTTAGTTGATTTTACTCCTATACATATATTATTACTTATATATCCAAGAACTATTTGCATGTTAAATCTAGGTAATTGTATTTATTTTTCAATTGCAAGTAACTGAACCTTAATAGGTAGTGATTTAGTGGGTCATTACTATTAGCAAAGATGGCCTAACCAAGAATTGGGGGGGGGG